TTTTGCCGTGGGGGGGGGGGGGGAGAAACAAGATGGGGTTCGTGGAAACCAAGATGGGGTTTGTGTCTGGCTACAGGAGGTTTGGGTTAGACATGAAGAAAAACTTCCTAACTGTCAGGATGGTTAAGCACTGGAATAAATTGCCCAGGAAGGTTATTAAATCTCCATTGCTGGAGATATTTAAGAGCAGGTTAGATAGATCGTCCCCAACTGATGTCTGTGGTGCCTGGCCTTTCCGTGAGTGCAGGGAATTGGACTTGATGGCCTGGCCCTTGAGGTCCTTTCCAGTTCTAGTATTCTATGAAACTTTACCTTGTTAGTCTGAGTGAAGATTGGAGCCTGCGATGGGGCATTTTCAAAGAGTAGGGCTCGTTTTGATCTTAAACCATCTTCAACTGCTGCTGTGAAGAATAAACCATGTTAGCTACTGTCCTTCACCTCAGTCTGCTGTAGTCAGCTAGTGCTGTGGAACATAGCAAGCGCTTTGTGATGAAAGGTGTTACGTAAAGTTAAGCTGTTACTCCACCCCCGCAGGAATAGACTTTGTGTTTTACATCATTGGTATCTGTTTGTTGGTTTTTTTTAACATAAATTCAACATAAAGGTAGCCAAATATTGTTGCTTAATTAGTACTAGCTGAATTTGTGAGTGTGCCATCTGCCAAGTGATTTGATGGTGAATAATATGTTTAGTTTCTCTTTCTAATGTGTTCAGTACACTTCCTCAATCTTTGTCATTTTGCGTATCTTCCTGGGTGCTCAGAAGGCCTTTCTGAAGGGTGGCCAGATTCAGATGGAATTATTAAGAAATGCCAGTTTCAGACAGTGTTCTGGCAAAATGAGTTTAGATTAGGGCATTTACAAACAGGACAGCAGAACACTGGCAGACCAGCAAAGCAACAGAGTTCTGGCTTGCAGGACTCTAAAGCTTACTGCAGCCTTCTCTTCCTTCAGCTCAATTGCAGGCAACTAAGGTTCCATGGCTGAGCTCTTTCTCTTACGTATACACTACCATAAAGGCCAGTTATGAGGTGTGATATCAGTCCAAATGGTACAACTTTATCTGTGCCAGCCCAGTAACCTTTTCCTCTAGAGCACTTTTCCTCATTTCAAGAGGTTTCTTAACTGTGAACTGAGGCCTCTGGGTTTCTTGGAAGGAGTATACTGTGGAACATACACACCAGCCTTGTTTGTTCTATTTCTATTTGTAATTGGATTCCTTTATATTCCCAGAAAAAACTGTTTGCCTAGCTGCTTAGTGCTCAGGTTAATCCAGCCATGTTTTTGGCAGTTATTTAAGCCGTCGTGGACTAGCTGAATGTTTTTTCTGACTGAGGTTCAGGTGATGGTTGGGATTCTCGAATTTCTCTGTCTCCTGTGTTGTAGAATATTACTGTGATCCTGTTGAAATCTCCTTTTCAGGCTGCCTTTAGATGCGGTCTCAAATTTTTTGTGGGAAAATTTTCAGAAATGACTTGAGTTGAATTTTGCTTTTTGCTTTCGTTTTCATTTAGCAAAACCAAGGAAGTTAAAGATGAGTTGTATAAAGAGAGCCCTGATCTTTCTGAACAAACAAGTCTGTTTCTCTACCTTACTAGAAACCAGAATAGTGATGTCACCTGATTGGTGGTTTTCCCTCCCCAAATTGGGGAAAGACATTACTGGAACTTGGATCACGAGTGTTTCACATCCTTTCTGAGACTTAGAAAAAGCTTTATCTAAAATATCAGAAAAGAGCAGTGAACCTGATAATCCAAATTTAAATTTCCTTGCTTGGGGTCTTTCTTGCAAAAAAGTCTACAGTTTTTCTTTTGGCAGCTGTTCTCATCACTAGCTTCTTTCCTGATTTCTAAACTGTCAGTTTGTTCCCATTACTCCTAACTCTCTCCTCTTGCACTGCTTTTTATTTTATTTTCCTCTGGGTTGCAGTCTTAAATACTCAGGACTGGGTATAATGGTTTGGGTTCTTAAACCAGGTTGCTCAGGTCTGTTATCGCCTTTGTCTTGGTGGTTGTTCAACTAAGTTGTAAATGATTTGGTACTATAACTTATTGTGCTTTACCAATGTAGGGAGCATGAAATAGCAATTTGAAAAGAAGTGCAGGAAGAAACCACAAGTAAGATGTGGGCAGTTTCAAAGCTGGGCAAGCATCTGGGGAATTTGAGGTGAGATTAGCCAGATACTTCCTTGTCACAGCAATGCTACGTATCTTAAGGTGGTGGGGGAGACAGTGGTGTACTCCAGTAGTATGCACATATGTTGGCACTATTGTGACGTGGATGGAAAGAAGCAAAGAACACACAGCGTTATAATGATGGAGTGCTTCACTGTGCTCACTACCTTATTAAGGTACTAGGGTTCTGATGGACTTTCAGCTCTCTGGCAGGGAGGGAAATGGTGTGGAACGGTCATAGAATCACAGGGACCGTGAGGGTCTTCTAATCTAACTCTTTTGAGGTGCAGGATTTGTTGCATCTAACCATTCCAGACAGATTGGAAATTTCAAAAGGTTGGAGCAGTGAAGGACCTTGCACAAGCTTCCCCAGGCAATCTGTACAGTTGTCCTACTCTGATTTAGGGAGGTAAAGTCATTTGAAAATGTAACCATAACTAATATGTAAGCTTTATACTGCAGAGCCCGCGGCGAGGCCTCCTCGGTGCTGCCAGCCCTGCTTTCGGGGAGCCAGCTTCACTGCAGGCTCTGCAGTGTAACTTACGTAGAGTGTGCAATGTGAAAGCTTTGTTTTGGTTGATGTTGACCTTGTGATCCACTACAACTCCCAGGTCCTTCTCCGCCACACTGCTGTCGAGCCAGTTATCCTTCAGTCTGTACTGGGGCATTTGGCTTTTCTTCCCTGAGCATCTCACATTTGTCTTGGTTGAATTTCAGGTTGTTGCCCAAAGGCCCAGCTCTGCAAGTTCTCAAGTTCCCTTTGAAATGTTGGTTCTATTCCCGTGTTGGGCCCCTCCAGCTTTGTGCCCTCTGGAAATGGGACCAGTATGCTTTCTTCCTACAGCCAGGTTGTTGTTCAAGGGGTTTTAACAACCCGGAACCCAGAACAAATCCCTGTGGCACCCCACATGGGACTTACCTTCAACTCGACTCATTCCATTCACAGTTTTTGCTAGTGGCTGTTCAACTAGGACCACAGAATCCTAGAGCACGAGGACTGGACGGGACCTCGAGACTCATCGAGTCCCATCCCCTGCCCACGGCAGGACCAAGCACCGTCTAGCCCATCCCTGACAGGTGTGTGTCCAACCTGCTCTTCCATATCTCCAGTGACGGGGATTCCACATCCCCCAGGCAATTTATTAACCCCCCGGACAGGCAGGAAGTTTTTCCTAATGTCCAACTGAAACCTCCCTGGCTGCAGTTGAAGCCCCTTGCTGCTTGTCCTGTCCTCAGAGGCCAAGGGGAACAATTTTTCTCCCTCCTCCTGTTTAACACTCTGTTGAATACATGAAAACTGTCATGTCCCCTCTCAGCCTTCTCCTTTCCAAACTAAACAAGCCAAATTCTTTCAGTCTTCCCTCCCAGCTCATGTTCTCCAGACCTCCCATCATTCCTGTTGCTCTTCTCTGGCCCCTCTCCCATTTCTCCACATCTTTCCTGCCACGCGGTGCCCAGAACTGGACACAAGACTCCAGCTGAGGCCTGACCAGCGCAGCGCAGAGCGGTGAACGACTCCTCGTGTCTTGCTCACACACTCCTGTTAGTGCTGCTCAGAAGCACGTTTGACTCATATTTAGCTTGCGGTCCACTGACCCCCTAGATCCATCCCCTTTGGGCTCCTTCCAAGACTGTCGCTTCCCATTGTGTAGAATAGTGATAGAGATGTAGCCGTGTTAGTCTGGTGTAGCTGAAACAAAAACCAGGACTATGCAGCACTTTAAAGACTAACAAGACTTTAAAGACTAACTTGTTAGTCTTTAAAGTGCTACATAGCCCTGGTTTTTGTTTCACTTCCCATTGTGTGTGTGAAATGGATCGATCCTTCCCAAGTGGAGCACTTGGCATTTGTCCTTATTAAACTTCATCCCATTGACCCCAGACCCTTTCTCCGGTTTGTCCAGATCAGTTTGAATTCTGACCCTGCCCCCAAAGCTCTTGCCACCCCTCCCAGCTTGTATCATCTGCAGACTCAATAAGCGTCCTCTCTCTGCCAGTATCCAAATCGTTGAACAGAACCGGGCCCAAACCAGACCCCTGCGGAACCCCCCTTGTTCTGCCCGTCCAGCAGGACTGGGAACCGTTAAGAACTCCTGAGAACGGTTCTCCAGCCAGTTAGTTCTGCACCCACCTTACAGGTTGGATTTGCCTAGTTTATTGATAAGATCATGCGAGACCGTGTCAAACGCCTCCCTGACGTCTAGGTAGCCCACGTCCAGGCGTCTCCCTTAGCCACAAGCCTGGCTATCGGAGCACAGGCAGCACTCGGACTGCTTTGACACGACGTGTTCCTTACCAATCCAGGCTGGCTGTTCCCTGTCACCTGATTGTCTCGCAGATGGATCCCTAATTACCACTTCACGGCAGCTCCGCCAAGCCGGCATTTCGTCAGCTGCCTTGTTGGACTGTCCCAGGGCTGCGTAGGGTGCAGGACCCAGGGGCTGCCCAGCCCCCCTTGCAGGTTCAGTCCCGCCCCGGGCTGCATCAGGAACACGCCTGAAGTCCAGGTCTGTTATGTGCACTGCATTCCCCACCCCCGCCCCGTCCCCGTCCCCCCGGCGTCAGGCCAGGGCAGTGCCCGTGCCTGCCGCTGGCATTGCGAGCGTTTCCTCCAGGGGATACACCGCTCAAGGCCCTGGGACCTCCCGCCAGCTGCCTGGAGTGCCCCCTTGCTCCGCCACGCCAGTCCCGTCCTGCCCGCCCCGGGCAAGGGAAATCTAAGCAGTGCTC